CTATGCCAGAGAATAGCTAGATCCAATGCACACTGTAACACGATGCCATTATTTTGATAATTGCTGCATATATGGCGGTTTTGTCTAAAAGTGTGTTTGAGATGATCAATCGCTAAATGTGTGGATGCGGGTTGAGATGTATACACACATACCGCATATACACGTGCGGCAGCGAGTGCTTCCCCCGCACTCCCGCTCAAGTTGACATGTTAACACTCACTGGCTGCTATATTTAGCGCTGCCTCGCCGCACTGTTACTATTCCCAGCATTGCGCATGAGGGGGTGGGCGGCTTTTCATGCATATCCACACATATATAAATACATACGTGGCTTTGGAATGTTTGGGTCTACTACTAATACTAACTCAAACACAATCTTCACAAAAATTGTCCAGAAGCTTTGCGGCTTGTTGGTCGGTGATTACGGTCTCAAAAATATGAGATTATTTTGTTGATTGTGGGGATTTTCATTCTTAAACAAAAGCGCATCCACAGTTTTGCCTGTGTCATGCGTACAAAGAAAAGAACGCTACTCCTCCTGTGAAACAAACAGCAGGCTCAGTCAGGTACGTTCTGCCATAGGAAGTCTTAAAATTGTGATGGGTGCAAAGGAATTTCAATGCTAGTCTGGAGTAAAATATCGATATTAAGTCCCTCTGAAGTGAAAATACATAAATATGGCATCTAAATTTGACAGAGCACATAGAAGAGTGCAGTTAACCAGCCAGCAAAACTTGAAGAATACAGAAATCGTCATGTCTATAAAACAAGGCGTCAAAATTGTGAAAAGTCAAGCCGTTATCCCCACTCTCAAACACTGTGGACGTGTCTGCTGAATGCGTTAAGCCTCAACTGTCAATCAAAAATATAAAATGGATGCTACCTCGCCTGGCATCTTTCTTACGCCTCAATGTTTGAGTTGTGAAAATACGTCCGGCGGTTGGAATGGTGTCTCGCGAAAACAAGACGCTGTGAAGCAGCCACGCCAGAGCAAAACCAGCATCAACACGCTCACTTCCCGCTTCTTGCTCTCGCGCCTATCTCTGTATGACGGACACTCACTCACACCTAACAATGAGGCACTCTAAAGCGGCTACAACAGCAGAATATCTGAAGGGCGGGATGTGTTTTGGGGGTGAAGGCAAAGCTAGCTAACTAACTGCACGTTGCAATGCAACTCCTGGTGTCAGCAAAACGATTATTATGAAGTTGAGTAACACTCCCCTACTCATGCCGGGCGTAAGTGTGTCCAAATAATGTTTTTCATTGGTTAACTTTCTGTATTTTTGTAGTCATTATTAATTTTTTGGGTGGTGAATTATTTTAGTCATCATTGGATTTTGTTTTTCTTTTTTTTAACGGGGGGGGGGCAAAAATGTTGACAATGTATATGTGGTGTACAATAGTGTACAATACTCAAAGTATCTGTGTGAGTGTGCGCGTGTTGTTACGGATCTCCGTTTGAGCAAGATGATGATGATGTTGAAATAGTGGAAACAGCTCTGGGTGGGGCAGACGACAACCACACACGTCAAGCTAGAATTACAACGATGACTGGAATGTCAATCAAAACTAATGGCGCTGGTTTACCTCATGAAATGGTGGGTGAGCATGTGTGGGGAACTACCCTTTAAAAGAGAATGGATGATTTTATATCTGAACCACTGACGGTACACGTTCGCAGGCAGCGCTTCAGGACCAAGGAGAGTTCCCCCCAAAAAAATTCTCTCAATAGCCCTTTTCTTGACCTTCAAGAAACACACGGTGATGTCAAGAAGGATGTCATAATTTCAGTTTAAAAGGAGGAAAAAAAAATCACTGCAGTATAAATATGGCGCCGGCTCTCGGTGATGCCAAAAGAAAAAAAAATTGCATTGCTGACGCAGTTGATTCTTTTTATAGCCTCTTTACAGGCCTCGAACAGACGTGCTCCAATGCCGGCTTCAAGAGGAGGAGTTTCAATGGGTGAATTTGGAAGCAACGCAAATTCGGGTTTGGCACATCATGCGTTTGGGTGCACGTTCGCCTTTTTTTGCGCCACTGTCTCAAGAATCAGCAGTTCAACTCACATTTTGGAAAAATGATGTTTTTTCTCCATTTTATTCGACATTTCAATCAATAGATTTTACATGCGTTAAATCGAAGTCATTTCATTAATCTCGTCTTATTTTAATTGAGATCATGAGTGCTTTTTATTGAATTGCATTTAGCTATGCAAACGTGGACTAATGTACAAATATTACATTTTTTAGTTTAGTTTAAAACAATCAATAGAGATCATGCACGCTTTGCAATAAATTGAAATATGTTATATTTTGCTTTATTTCAAGACAATCAATTGATTTTTTTTTGGTAGACTCTCCATGAACTAGAAATATGTTGTTTTCTTTTCATTTTGTTTTACACAAGGCGATAAATAGATTATGCACACTTTGCATTCACTAAAAATAGGACATTTTATTCCCATTCAGGGAGAGAATTGACATATTTACATTGTTTGATTTGGGTCTTGCCATGGTTACCCAATGTGAGTCCAGCGGGTACGAAAAGGCGAGAAGTGAAGTTACCTGTCCATTGGAGGAATTCTTTGCTCACGTTTCCATTCAAGCGGAATATCCGATGTGTCTTTGGCCGTGACTTATATGATGGATCTGAGATCTGATTGGGGGAAGAGAAACACAATTCAAATTAAGGAAGGGTTTTTCAATTTATTTATTTATTTATTTTTCTTCTGAGCTCCTGAAAATGGAGGCGCGTGGCATAAAGTGGGACTGGAAAAGCATGGAAAAAGAAAAGCCCAGATCACCTGTTGGAGACAGCATGATGGGTGTTGCTAGCTTCCAAACAACGAAAAACGGATATACTCTGAAAATGGGAAGGCGGAAAAAAAAACAACGGCAAAGGAGACAAAGAGCTTGTGAGCCAAAGCATACCACATCAAACGTGAAACACGTTACAATAGCAGCATTAATGGGCAAGGGTGCTATGTACCCCAATAATTTTGATCCCCTATCTGCCCACGCCTCCTCCTCCTCCTTCACCACTGCATGATTATTTTCAGCTCTGCAGTGCGTGTGAGTGCGTGCGTTTGTGTGTGTGTGCGCGCGCGCGCGCTTTGGGAAATACCTGGTCACGATCAATCACCAGAGAAGGAGAGATTATTTTCCCACGGTTGTTTACCACCTCCTGCTGGCCAAAGGGGAGAAGTTTGAGGAGGACCTTGAACGCACCACAGACAATAGACGGTCAGCGGATTGCTACGACAAATTGCCCCCCCCCCAAAAAAAATAAAAAATAAAAAAACACCCCCGTGTGAAAAGCTCACTGACCATTTCATTCGAAATATAACCCAATGAATACCAGTGCAAGGAATTAAGATTGCCATGCTCAGTTTTGGGATGGTAAAATAAGAATGTGTTTGGAGTGGTGTGCATCGTATCAGTTTTGAGAGCTTTTTCGGCAACATGATCGCAACACACGTTTATCAAGTATATTTTGTACAAACCATAAGCCAATATCGATCATGACACACACTTGAGTGGAAAGGCAACCTTTATAGAAATGAGTAAAAGGTGTCATATTTGCTGCCTGCTTTGAATCGGACAAAACTCACATCGCCTAGTGTATTTTATATATACGTGTGTGTGTGTGTGTGCGTGTGTGTGTGTGTGTGTGTGTATAGTGGTTTCTCTGCATCCAAGACAAAAGAAAGAATGAAGCTTGAAACGTTCAACTGGGCTAAAAATAGAACAGGTTGTTGCTCTGGCAGGAGGGGAAAACCCTGGTCTGTATCGCCCCCTAGAGGGAACAGCCTGTCACAACATTTAAAAAAATATTTTGTTCTTTTATCTTGATACTCCATCTCATGATACAAAAGAAAAAAGTACATTGGGGTGCACACTCCAGTTTATCAGCAGCCACCTCCAATCAATTTTTTTATCCAACTGAGATTACTGTTTGTCAGAATTGGATGGTTATGTCTCCTAAAAAAAGGTAGTTTCAATTTCAATGCATTAAGCCCAATGTGTTTTTACATCAGCGACGGCCCAGCAAGATAAATTCGATGTATATTTGGATTGCTAATTAAGTACTGAGCCACCACCGCCTTTCCTATACATCTACATACACAGAGTGATTGAAAAATAACTTCCTGTTGTAAACCATTCACAAGTTGTTTAATAATTGGGGGTTTTTTTGCTTGTTTTTAAATGGATGAGAATTTAATATGTATTTCATTTTCTTGCTCTTCTTTAATGTATCAGAAAATTAAGTAACGGGGAAAGGGATGACTTCCACCAAATGGCAGGTCCATTTTTTTTTTCTTCGCGTGACCAGAAGCTAAACTTTGTGGGTTGGAAGACCACATTTCATATTTGCCCTTCAAGTCTTTGGTTTTGTCCAAAAAGAAAAGAAATGAAGTCACATCTATCTCCTGTTGAAAGAGGCATTCAGCCATTCACAAAGGACATTAGCAAAACGTGGTGAGGCCTCATCAAAATCAAATCTTTAACATTCTCCCTAATACTGATGAATGGACTCGCATCATGGCAACGTATTCGCAATCCCTCATCACATCCAAATTTAAGTTATAATAGAACAAAGAAAAAAAACATCTAAAAAAAAAAAAAAAAGTTAGAGTAAAATCTACATCAGACCTCAAAATTCTGAAACTATTACAATAAATACAAATACTTTCAAACAGGGGAGTTGTTTTTCCAATCACATTGTAGCTATAGACGTATATACAGCATTTTGGATTTCTGGTTCGACTGAGTGGGCCATAAGTTTCCAAACATAGAAAAATGTATCATGCATTTCTTTTTTTAAAATGTTTTAGATACCCTATGCATTGTAAAACTCTACAGATGGAAACTTATGGCCCACCATCCTGTGTCATCGCGTCTTCATCACTGCGGTAGTATAACAAGGCAAATAAAAAGCAAGGTATCTGTACTTTGGTGGATGTGCGCTATCGAACATGAAGACATGACACCGACCGCTCATCGTTCCATACAAGTTTATGATAAAAATCCGACAACATCAGCGATTCATACAAAGTTGTAATAGTCAGCCAATTCAAACTGAAGCTCTACTAATAAGAATTTTAAACATGAAAACAAGATTAAATAAAAATGTAAAAACAAATGCATTCCAACATCACGTTGCAAACCAAATAGGACTATTTTTTTTTCTTTTTTCTTGTTTTGTTTTGAAAAACTATTGTGTGTCACAACTCGGCAGTCTTTTTGTTCCACAAGGATACAACGTCATTCATAAAAACAAAAAAGGGAGAGGAACTACAGCTACGGGCCTTGGCTTCTTGACGAATTCTAGTTGGTCTGGATAAAAATGTTCATTGTGACGATTTTCTTTCTTTCTTTTTTTTTTTTTTTTTTAATGGAAGTGGGACAATAGTGGTGGTACGTAATCCATTTAAGGTTGACAATAAAGATCCAGGCGTGATGCAGTTCAGTGAGTAAGAAGCACCCCCCACCCACCCTCTTGGTGACCCGCCTCAGTAGATCCGCCCTCGGCTTCTGTTGCCTCTGGTGCCGAAGCCCCGTCCCCGTCCGCCCCTGAAGCCGCCGCGCTGCTCTGTAGGCAACATTGATGGTGAAGACCATAATGTTAGCGCATGGCCCACACAAAATCACAAAAAATCCGGTTACTCTCGAGCCATCCTTTACTCCAACACACCTGATTCAAATGATCAGCTAATAAAAAGGGTCCACTAGTATAATTATTTATTAACTATAAAATTATTGTTCACTCTTCATATAGTGAAGCTGGGGTGAGCTTTGGACCGATTCAAGTTTTTGAGTGCCAACATTTAGCACGTTGCTATGAAAATATTAGTGTTAATGTTAATATTGGAGGTATCGAAAGCAAATCTCATTATGACCCAAATGTATTCACATTTAATCCTCGGCGGCCATAACATCGTGTACATAAAACAATAAAGAGCATTTCCATACGTTACGACTAAAACTGTCAATGTGTGCCATGATCAGACTGTGCTTCCAATCCTACCGTAGCTCAAGTTCCCGAGGGATGCGCTGTATTTGCCGCTGGGTGGGTTGTAGATTTGCCGAGCGTCTCGCCGAGGTTGTGGCGCCATCTGCTTCTTCAGGGTGACGCCTGTGCCTGCGTCGTCACCGGATGGACGCTTAAGACTGCGGCGTAAAAGAGAGAGCAGAGGTAATGCTCAGTCACGGATATTCGGGCATCAGCTGCTTTGCAGAGGGTCAAACTTACGCCACCGCCGCCGCCTCGGTCTTCTGGACAGGCTTCCAGGACAGCGTGACGGCGCTCTTAAACGACGGAGGGTTGTGGAAGAGATCCTGGGACACAGAATTCGATCAAATCTATCAGAGGGAGATGTTTATGATCCAGCGGGCAACTCGCCGATTGCCTTGTGTCCATCACAGGTGAGGCCACGATTTGAGGAGTGACCGACAGTGCAGTGAGGTGAATTTGTATCATCTTATGGATGAAATAAAGTTTCTGCCTTGGTAGAAGGTGGTTTCGTTACCTCCAGTTTTTACTCATGCCTAGAGTAGGTATTTCTGTTGTTTTGGTTCACAAAGGAATTCAAGTGATTCAGTAGTATGAAATGTCCAGGGGAAGCATCAATTTGAGGGGCACACTTATTCGGCTAAATCGGATGGCTTGGTGTTCATTTGAGTTGGGGTCACTATGAGGAAATACCATAACAGATAGCCGATTCATTTCTAGACGTAAATAAGAGATTTGCCCGAGTTCCTAGTTCAACCGCAACCAACCTTGATGAGGACGTTGATGTTGTTTGTAATCTTCAGGGCCACCACCTTGATCTTGTTCTGATGATTAAAAAAAAAAAAAAAAAAGTCCTGGTCAGCACACACATGGTTTGACAGACTCAGAAAGATTGCACCATATACCTCGTCTGTCTTAAGCGCTTGTCCCGTCTTGCCTTGCAGAGCCACTCGCAGCTGTCTGATGTAAACCTGCAGGCCTCTGGCGAAATACTGTAACCTGCAAGTGCCATCCCAACCGTTTTTTTTTTTTAATGACATTACATAGGTGACATTTGATGAGCCAGTGTAGTTCATATCACCTGTGAGTGATGCGTACCTGATCTTGAAGTCTTTGAGGCGCTCAGCGTCCACTTTATCAATGAGGAAGTCAGGTAGTTTTTTGCCCAGCTGGTGAAAGCTGAAGAGCAGACACTCCACGTAACTGAACTGTAGCTTGGGCTCCTCGCCGGCTGTCTGCTCGCCGTTCTCCACCTCTTCTGGCGGCAGAGGCATGTACTCCTATGGGAGGGGGGGAGGAGATAAAAAAATACAATTCAAAATATTAAATTCCATGGGAAGAAAGTGGATTGTGAAAACTTTCCATGTAAGATAATGGGAATTAAGTACAATATGATATTCAACGTTTCGTTTTTGTCATAGACATCCATGCAAATTAAAGAGGGCTGCTTGCCCACATGCACCATACATTAATTTCTCAATCCCCCCGCCCCCCATTTCACTCAAGCAGTTGCATAACCCTATTATGAGCAAATTTGCACGTGTGCAAATTCTTGGTCAATTCCCATGGCAAATTTCCAATTTTGAAAAATTGAAAGAATTTTGCAACCCAAGTCACATGCCTACGGGAGGCTTGATGACTTTGCCTCCGTAGGACAGCCTTTGAGCTTGTAAAATAGGGAGCTTGCGTAAAACTCTCAGGGGGCATAAAATGTGCTTCTGGCAGAGGTGGAGAACTCAAATCAACTTGAGATGCTTTTACGCTGCGCCTAGTTTGTGCCTAACCCAGTGTGGGGTTGGGTGTGAGGTAAGGCACAAGCATGCCAGTATTTGGCATTTGTTGCAAAGTGAACAAGCAGGAAGTGAGTTTCAAGGCTGATGTCTTTTCTGGTTGATCGAGAGGAGTCAGATGAGGTGGCTCGGGCATCTGATTGGGATGCCTCCTGAACGCCTCCCTGGTGAGGTGTTCCGGGCATGTCCCACTGGCAGGAGACCCCGGGGACGACCCAGGACACATTGGAGAGACTGTCACCCAGCTGGCCTGGGAACTCCTCGGGATCCCCCAGGAAGAGCTGGAAGAAGTGGCTGGGGAGAGGGAAGTCTGGGCTTCCCTGCTAAAGCTGCTGCCCCCGCGACCCGACCCCGGGTAAGCAGTAGAAGATGGATGGATGGCACTCCACCACCATCTTTCCTATTGGAAGCGCCAAGATGCCATAACGGCGTGTTTCTCCCAAACTGAAATAGCTTGAATTTGAGCGTGCCTGCCACGGTGGTCGGTGCCCAGAGCATGGCGCAGTCGCACATACTCTCAACGAAGTGTTTGGCTGATGGTAGTCTGTGCTGTTTACCCACCAGCAGCTTGGTGAAAAGCATGTTGAGGTTGGTCTCCAGTTTGTCCATGTCACCACAGAAAGGACTCATCTCTGCCAGCAGCTTGAGGACCTGCGCAGATGCACAGAAAGGCGCCCGGCGTTAAAAAGACACGCCTTGACGCACGTACCGCTAACGAGCAACAGTGTGATTAGCTGAGTCATAAAGAGCGTCATACACACAACACCTTGTCAATTGCGTGTGCGGCAGGCGTCGTGAGTATTGAGTTTGGTGGGACTCGAGGTGCTGATTGGAAGCAGGCGCCACTGTTGCATAAACTCTTGTTGGGAATAACGGAACACTTTTTCACAACTTAAGTCATTTCCTTCTTTTAGGTCATGAAAGACGCGACTTTATCACTACACGTCGGCAGCAATACAGCGCGTCGAGGCAAGTAACCGAACAGTTAGAAATACAAGTATCTTAAACATGCGTCTGAAAGATCTGGCTCGTTTGCCAATTTTTCTGATCTCAAAAGGTTAGTCTCTTCGTGGGTTCTCTATCACGCCAAAATCCTGTTTACTACAGTATCGGTGAGATCCATGTTGACATGTTAACTGTTCATGTTTTTAAATCGATTCTGCATACGTTGAAGCATTTGGATCAGCAAATGGCACTCTCAACATACCTCACAAAAGTTGGAAAAGGCAAGTCGTTGCATTCCACCTTTTATTTTTGTTTCCCATAGCAAGGTAGGATTTTTTTTTTGTGTGGTGCTAACCCTTACTTATATGTTTAATGTATGTGAAATAAATATTTATTTAGCGAGTGCACCTTATGCACCCTTGTGATCAATAGGGCAGAATTTTATGATTCCAGTTTAGGGTTAAAAATAAACTCTCAAACCCCAAAACAGGACACATCGAGGAAACTGACCTCAAGCTGGATGTCGAGCTCGGCCACAGGAGTTGTCAGCATGCTGAGGTTAGGCAGGACGTGTTCACAAAAGTAGGTCACAAAACGTGTGGAATGGACATTTTTCTACAGGTGAAAGAACGAAAATCATTAACATTTTTGACATTTTGAACAAGGAAAATCGACAGTGAAAAGACACAGGTGATGTACTCACAGAGAAGAGGGGCAGCGCCTGGCGCGTGCACTGAAGCAGGCGGTCCACGGTGTCAGGGTCGGCCGGGTTGAGTGCCTGCTCCAGGAAGGCCTGTTCCACCACCAGCTCCACCAGCTGCTGGCGCCCGCTCACTGTCTGCAACACGCGCAGGTTCGACACCAAGCGCATCAGTAACACAAACTCCTCACCAGTCACGTCCTCCAACACCTGAGGGGAGAGAGAGAGGGCGGGGGGGTTATTGTCAACAATAGCACAAGTATGATGCTTGTCTTGAACAATAACTTCATCAAAGTTTCAATTTGCAAACACATGAGCACAACCTTCTTCGTCTCTGTAAAGACGTACTCCTCCACCTCCTTTGTCATGACATCCTCAGGCAAGGTCTTGAGCTTGGTGGACAGAAACTTGATGGCGCGCTCACGCACGATGTCCTCCCCGTTAAGAATCTGCGAGAAGAGGCCACCGAGGGTGCCTGTGCAACAGGTGACAATCTTAATCAATGTTAGCGGGGGGGGGGGGGGGGGGGGGGG